ATATATATATATATATATATATATATATATATATATATATAACACACACACACATATATATATATATATATATATATATATATAGAGCCTGTAGAAAGTTGCTTGATTGAGATTTTTTTTCCTTTGGTTTCATTAATCGTAAAACAAGACACACGAGGTAAGGGTTGCGCGTAGTAGTCCGGCACCGTCCATAAGAGTCCGACGCGAGATCGGGACGAGGGGATTCCCTCAATGAGGAACGAGAGACATCGACGAACGAGCTCAGTTCGCTGCACTTCTGAATTTCTCTCTGCCTCCTCCATCTCCTCCCGTCATCTCGTCGCCCTCTCACAGCACGTTGTTGAACGACGGTGTTCTCTGGGTTACGTATTATATACATTAACACGTGCCGGAAAAAAAAATGTAGATTACTGTGATTATTCTTCCGTTTCACCGCGCAGGGTTACTGCAATTCCACAGTTCGTCGAGGCTATGCCACGTGCTAAGATTTTAAAATTAATGTCCCTCCTCCGTCCATTTTCCTTCTTTTCAGTCGCAAAGAATCGGCAGGGGTTTCAATAACACAGAGTTACGCTTTGCGAAATGTCTCTAGTTCAGTCCTTATAGCATTGTCTTCGAGCGAAGATGATTGCTGTTTGCTCGAATGAAGAAAGAGAGATGTGTAGCTACCCTCGGACCGCACAGCATCATGCCAATTACCGTTGTCCCCTCCCATTGTCCTCCTCTTATAAATCCTTTTCAGCCTTCTCCTCGTTTTTTTTTCGCTTCTCTTTAATATTTGTTAGGCTCTTTTTCCCCCGAATTCTCATTCCGGCGATCGCGCATCCATCTTGAGATATTCGGTGATTTTGATGAAAGCAATCTTCATGCAGGGCGAACAAGATAATTTTCGAGAAGTGATCGAATCGGCGAATAAGTGTTACGTTTGTTGCACTGTCGCTGTATGTAGTCGTTCAGTCGAGGAAATGGACGTGGCTGCGATCCGCTTTAATAAGTATATTAAAGCGGAATAACTCGCGATAACTCGTTGATGATGCGCGATATTATGGAACAGCGGCGTTTATCGACGAACACAGGACAGTTGTAGGGACGACGGGCGGCACGATGATTTCTAACGCATGATTAGATGTAAGAATATGGTCCGTCGGTGAGGGCGCTACACAGCAACAATCAGGAGGAATCGTCTTTGCCTCGAGCACCTCTGCTCGGCCTGTATTCAAGACCCGGGTCGAACTGCATTAGCACGAAAACCTGAAAAATTAAAAGACGCGAATTATGCAGTATCACATTCAAATAAACTGCAAAATTAATAATTGTTGCATGAATTATAGGATTTCCATATTTTTGTTATTATTAAATTATAATGTTATAAATCTAAAGTTACAAATCTCAAAAAGTAAATAATAGGATTATTTAAAATACCTGATCTGTGGGTAATAGTGTGAAGTCGTCTGGTGGATTTGTGATCACGTATCGTTTGGAAGAGGCGTCGCACGACGAGCTAGTGTCTCGAAACCTAGAAGGTTCAAATAAATGTCAGCAAATAAGAAAACAGAGATCGGTGAAGAACACGAGCTGAACTATATACATCAAGTGTAACTAATCAAAGTTGAGCTAAGTTAAGCTAAACTAAAGTAAACTAAGCTAAACTAAACGTATGTGAATCGTATGACGGATAACTAAATGCTAAATAAATAACAAGATGACACAAAGATAGAGAGAAAGAAAGAAAGAAAGAGAGAGAGAGAGAGAGAGAGAGAGAGAGAGAGAGAGAGAGAAGAAGAAGT